CGCTAATTTTTCCTGAGATATACACCTCACGCTCACCGTCGGTGCGACAACAAACCCATCGCCTACCCATCTGCCCGTCCCGGCTGCTCACTGCCCTGCCATGTATATCCCCTACGGCACTACCTATCACCTCCTCGCGTCGCACCACCTCCCCTTCCTTTCCTCCATCTTCCTCCTGCTCATTCCTTGTCCTGGGATCAACGTCAACGCCATCCCCGACCCCTCGAGTGTCAGTGTCTTGACCGACCCGCACAACTCCACTCATACATCCCACTTCTGGCAGCCATGGCCGCCCTTCCTTCACCTCGCTCGTCACCAACGTCGCTCAGACACCGTCAAGTACATTGCTGCAAGCCGGGTACAGACTGCGCGTGCGGAGATGATTGAGGAGCTCGAGCCAATGAGCAATGCCCGAATCCACGGCGTTGCACGCTGACGCTGCGGGGTGGCATATTGACTGTATGGCGGGGCTGGGTTCAAGGCACTGCCGGGATCGTGCGCACGGCGGTCCATGCATTGTGATTCCTCCGACTTTGGTCCTCGGCGGGTTTTCGACTGGCTGCATGAGACCGTGACCAATGTTTTCTTTTTTTCTCAAATACTCTATGCACTGTATGTCTAGCCAGAATGTTATTAATTGGATTCCAGATAAGAACGAGGAGGGAGGCCTAGGATAAGTAGAGTGATTCATGCCCGTTCCGGGTAATAACAAGTGAAAGTTGCCTGTTTCGGGCAATGATGAGTGAAAGCTGCACATTTCAGTAAATGATTGAGTGAAAGCATCAACCAGCTGACTGTCCCTCGTGGTCAGCCTCATGCTCACCTCATGTCGGATGCTCCGTCCGGATCCCTTCTTACTTCCCACCACCATCTCTGTCCCCAATCCCCTCCTCCACTGGCGCTAACCGCGCCGGCATTTGACTGCAGGCCTACCAAGCTAGCGGTCAAAGGAGATCTCGCTCCCTGGCGCTGCTGATCAAGCGGCGCCGGTATGTGTCTGCGCGCTGACCAAGCGCGCGGTCGAGCTGGATGAGGGACTTGCCCTGCTCACTAGTGCTGCTGACCACGCAGCGCTGGTTCGTGTCTGTGTCCTGACCAAGGGCGCGGTCGAGCAGGGCCTTCATGGAGGAGATCTTGCTTGCTGGTGCTGCTGATCAAGCGGCGCCGGTATGTGTCTGCGCGCTGACCAAGTGCGCGGTCGAGCGGGAGGGTTGGACTTGTCCTGCTCGCTAGCACTGCTGACCACGCAGTGCTGGTTTGTGTCTGTGCCCTGACCAAGTGCGCGGTCAAGCAGGGCTCGGTGGAAAGCTCGCTGGTGCTGCTGATCAAGCGGCGCCGGTTCATGTCTGCGTGCTGTGCTCGGTCGAGCAGATTTTTTTTTCTTCTGGGTATTCACTCTACGTCTTTTTGTCGTTCATAGGATAGCAGTAAAAAAAATCATCTCAAACTGTATACTGTACAGTGAGCTTACGGACTCCGGGGGGGGTACCTATTTTGGCAGTGGTAAGTGAAGACTGCCATTTCAGGCAGTGATGAGTGGTGGGTGCCCATTTCAGGCAGTGAGTGGTGCCTGTCTTGACTGCTTCTATTCCATTTCTGGTGGGTGTATGGGGTCCTGTCTCAACTATTACCTGTTATGGTAAGTGTTGGCTCCGTTTTTTTAGCCTTTTGGAGGTAGCCAGAATTTGCGGACACAGCAAATGTTATGATAAGCGAGGCATGTGAAATCCGGGTTTGATTTGAATGCCGAAACATTTGCTGGGCCAGCAAATGTTAAGTAAATAAATAGCAAATAAATAGCAAATTTAAAATTTGCTGGCCCAGCAAATGTTCCAATCCTGGCAGTGTTAACAAACTTTACTGACAACAATTCTTCTTTCAATCCTTCCACATGTTTTGGCAACAAGTGTGTTATCACTTTGTGTATATACCAGTTGTAAGAGTGGAAATGGTCTGTGCATTTTTGCACCTTTGATATCATTTCCATGTAGTTTCATGCTTTTGTGATCTGTGAGCTTAGCATGTTCATGTACCACTTAGGATGCTAGATCTCAAATATCAGTCCAGATCTGAGCCATGGGAGAGTGTTCTAAGTGAATGAGATAAAAGGTAGATTTAGGTGCAGCTATTGATATTGGCAGTTGATAACCTGATCCTTAGCACCCCAAGACTTCAATGAGTATTATCAATGACTTTTGAAGTCCCTTACCATAAGGTGCACAATAGGCCAGGTGAAAGTGGGAAAAGTCATCAAATCCCATTTTCACTGTATTGCTCATGCTCTTGATTTTTCCTCTGTGGTTGAAGTACATGGGACAAGTACCCTAGAGTATAGGAGGCCAGCACAACCAAGATCAGCTGAATACCTGCACAGAAAGTAAAGTTATATACATAGAGATTTTGTGATCATTTTGGATCATTCTGTTGATAGAAGACAAAGGGAGTGGAATCTGGGATATTTGAAGTCACCAATGAGGAAAGGGAGCTCAGGGGGTCCAGAAAGTGTCCTTGATCATGAAGGTTGGTGGAGAATCCATGGAGTTCTGTTCAAGAACTCTACTGGACATTTGACTGAATTCTTACCCTACAATCCTGCCAGACCCAAACACAACCAGTGGAATCTTGCAAATGCTCTTGCAAATATGGATGGGTGGAGCAATTCTAAGATGTTCCATCTAGTTTTTAGACTCCCAATACATGTACATGGCCCTGTAGGTGCACAACAAGGGGGATCAGCTCAAAATGATCACACTCATAACTCAGGTTTCTCCTCATGTTCTGGCCAGTTTCTTTGCTCTAATGGGGTCTACTGGCAAGGGAAATGTTCACTGTGGTGTTGGAACCAATGCATTAGCCACAGGTATTGAGAACTGGTGCACACTTACATTTGAAGAATTGAGTTGAAATCTCTCTGGAATCAAGGGCCTTGGTTGAACCTTCTTCAGATTAGAGTTAATATGATCCAGGATCAGACTTACAGGCTACAGATCACACATCTGGGCACCAGAATCATTCAGCACCAGGAAATCAGTGTTTTCAATCATACAGCAATTGTGCCTGTAAATGGGGGTTGTAAATACATGGAGTGCATGGGAGGGAGTGCTGCAATAGTTCCATGAAGATTCAAAAGAATTGAGGGAATGGTGCTAAAGGTATAAAGGCAACAAAAATGGGATGGGGGTACTGGGATTTGAACTTGCGACCTTGGCAAAAACATGTAATAAGGGGAGAATTATTAGAGAGACAAGTAACCAATAGACTAGACAACCAATACCTTGAAGCAGTGGGGAGTCCCCTCACCTACCAGGTACACCTCCTTTGCTAACCCACCAGACCTACCATGCCGCTGTGCCCTAAAACATCACCATCAAAACACCCTGAGCAATAGGCCATACATTTTGAACAATGTAATACAGGCATTTCATTTTTCTGAAGCCGGGGTTTGGAAAGTATTTTGCATTTTGTGAGCCAGCCAGGCATTTTGAGCCAGTATTGTATAGGGTGATTCTGTAGCTGCAAATCAGCTCTACAACTTTGATTTTTTGATCCCCGATCATTTCTGATCCATGCCGAGCATGTGTAGTCAATTGATGCAGTGGTATCAGTCATCTCCGGAGCCATTGATGGCAATTTAAGATATTAATATCAATTACCTATTAAATAGAGCTTAACCGAGAGTTAATCTGGTTGTTCAGTATACCCGATACTGCCCCAGGATGCCGCCCTGATCCCTGTGATGGATACGGTCAGAGATAAGAGATTCAGTGCCTTTTGGGTATAGATAATATTTAACGTGTTCTTTGCAATACCTACGGATGATTAGTAACGTGTTTTTTGCAAAAGTTTTACTGTATCTAGTGATTTTTCTCACTGGTTTGGGTTCCAGGGGCCTTTTTAAAAGCGCTCCAGCGCTTGTTCTCTGCATCCATGTGACGATTCTTTAAATCACGTTTCCGGTTCTGATTCTCCAAAATACGTATTTTTTCAGTGAGGACTGGGCAGATAGATATCGAGGAGCACGAGTGTGGACAACCTTTCATTCACATTGACCCAGTTTAGTAATCATCAGTGAGCTATAGCCAAATAAGGAATGAATCAGTGGAACACCGTTTTGGGCAGTTTGGGGAGAAATCATTTGGAATTTCACCTTGAAAAAGAACAGTAGGGGTGCACGGGGGCCCGGCAAGCACAAGAATTGCCTTATAGGGGTATTAGTGTTTATTCCCATATATGGCAGGACATGCTGTAATCCAGCAAATGTAACGCAAATGTCTCGGCAATCAATGAAGAAGTTGACATCTTTACACATTTGCTGGGTCCGCAAATCAACCCAGCAAATGTATAGCAAATAAATAGCATATAAATAGCAAATTTAAAATTTGCCGTGGCAGCAAATGATCAAATCCTGGCAGTGTCTGGCGATGCTCGACACGCTCGCTCCCTATCTTGACGCCAGTGTGTATGCGTCGTTTGGACGTTTAGAACACTGTTTCCATTCCACCGTATCTTGTGTGTCTTATTTCTATGCGTTTGACGATGAGATACTGACTACTCACCTCAGCCCCTCCCTTCATTCGGCTATATATGTCCCCGCACGCTCACGCCCATCGCACATCGCCCTCTCCTTCGATCTTTGTACGTACACTTGTGCATTTTCCCTCGTGTGCACTAACACCGATTGCAGAAATGCTACCCAAGCTTCTTCCCTGTGTTTCGTGCCCGCATGCTCCGGGCCTCCATTCGCTCGCAACCCGTCATGGTCTACGTCACCTCCCCTCCCTCGGCTGCTCAATCCATAGGCAGCCCCATCCGCTTCCCTCGATAGTTGCGCTCTTGGCCACATCCATGCCCCTCCATCATCACCCTGGGTTGTAGCCACAATGCATTGTACCTTGCCGTGGCAGGGGGGTACATTTAAATAAGGTGACACCTTGACAAGGCAGCCATCATGTGCCCACATTGCAATGTACCTTTGGCAGTGCACAGCAAAGAAATTAAAATGCAGCAAGGGGGAATTGAACCCAAAACCTCCTGCTGTCATCCAGGCAGAGTGGATGGCAGACACCTTAACCAACTGAGCTAGAGAAGAGTGACAGAGGGTTCTCCACATCAAGCCAAACTATGCCCTCAGACTGAGATCCAGCTGAATCGGCGGTTAGACGCGGGTTAGGTTAGGTTAGGTTAGGTTTGGTGCACCCCTAAACAAATGACATCCCCCCCGCGGCTTCGTCTGTGAGTGGAAGAACTCGTAATCCACCGTGAATGGGCGGTTAGGGGCGATATCTGCTGTGAATGGTGATTAGGGGCATCATCCAATGGGAATGACAGCATCAGATCAGGGCTGGTCAAATAGGGTAGTAGTGGCATCAAATAAAGCACCCAGTATGGTTCTGTAGTGTAGCAGTAAGCAGTCATTCCTAATATAGTAATCCCTACGCTGGAGGTCTGGGGTTCAATTCAGCCTGCTGGCAGCTATTTTGCCCTGCTGTGGCTGGGTGCAATTCATTTAGCAAGGCTGTGACAGGGTACAATGCAATGTGGGCACACTGTGGCTGGGTTGTCAAGCTGTGGCCACAATTAAATGTACCCCCCAGGCATGACAGGGTACATTGCCTATGTGGTACAGCTACACCTCTCAGTACGGGCGGTGGGTGGTGCACGCGTGGGGAAATAGTCGGCAGGTGCGGAGACAAAGCAGGCTGAGCAAATCCACGGTGCAGCCCAAGTGGGGAGCAGCCGACAAAAGAAGCGCCGGTGGGCGCCAAATGCCTGACAGGCGATGCCGAGCAATCGGCATTATCATTGCTATTTTATGTACAAGCGCCAGCAGGCGCTAATCTTTTTATTTACTCCAGAATTTTCCGATCATTTCCGCGCTCCAGTGCCGCTTCTGCCGGTCCAGATGGTTTTGCCGTATGTTAAACAACGGCAACGGTGGGTGCCGGCGTGCCGGAATTGACCCCCTGCCTCCAAATAATGCCATTTAAATGAATATATGAGGGGCCCAAAGATATCGCAATATGTACCTTGGACGAGACCAGTACATATCTAGATATCTCTACATTATGAGGTGTCTCGTTGTGCTCGACTCGTCTCCTCTTGACGTTCTCGAGCTCGTCGACCTTCTCGTCGTACCCGGCCGTGTCACCCACGCCGTTCCGCGTCTGACCCGATCACCCGGCAAGCCGGCCTAGACGCTGTCATTGACACACCTGCAGATTATTTCTAGAAACAATCTGAGGGTTCACGCATTCTCATTTTTAATCGCTCGAGCTTCCAGCCATCGGCTCAAGGAGTCGCGTGCATCGACAACTTTATTGTACCCATTCAACGGTGTACCCATGACCATCACATCCACATGAATCTTTTGAAACAGGGACGGTGTATGAGTTTGAACCGGCGGAATGTTAATCAACCGCTGTTGCCGCAACTGACATAGCAGACACGTTTTCATGTAGTGGCTGATATCCTTCTCAAATTCAGGCCACCAAAACCTTAACTCTATCAAGGACTTGGTCGCAAAGAAGCCTCGGTGTCCCAAGCTATCATGGGCGGACTTCATCATAAATGTCCGTTGTAAACGAAGACAGAAATCAATGAGCTACAATGTATGTGAGTCAGAAATAGAGAAGAAATGTAAGTAAGACGTACCCTCACACAGGGGGGAACCTCACTTTTCCGCACAGCGGGAATTTTATATTTCCGCAGTATTTCCGCATGATTTCCGCAACATTTCCGCATGGCGGAAATGTGTTGATTTCATTACATAATCATGAGATTCTCTGCTAAATTGGCAGATTTTGATTTTTATCACCTATTTTCGGAGCTGGCGGAAATGTTGCGGAAATACTGCGGAAATGTTGCGTAAATAAAGTATTTCCGCGGTGCGGAAAAGATGCCTCCCCCCCTGTGTCAGTCGGTGGTAACAGACTGAGGGTACATATAGGGGATGAAAGCTTTTATAGTAGATCGGTAAGGGGTAATGAGATAAGATAAAGGAAAGAAATCCACAGTCACCATCATCTTCCGCCGTACGCCAATCCAACTCGCTACGCTCGTGCGTTAACATCCGTTGGTATAAAGTCATTTTTCATTGAAAAATATCTGGCTCAAGTGGCAGGCAGAGACGATCCTGCAGGTCATATGTCAGGCTATTTCAGCTTGACGCAAGTCCAAGACACAGACCACATGATCTCAAGTTGAGACCCAAGACAAAGACGCAAGTGGCAAGTTGAGACGCCACTCGGAGATGCGGGTCATGTGACTTCCAAGTTGGGTTCTATCAGGAAATTATGTGATAGAGATAATTTGAAATACCAAAACTGGAAATTTCCTCATTTGGCCATGTTTTGGCTGCTGGCCTTTGACATGTTTTGAGATTCTACCACATGGGCAACTGAGATTACAAAGTAGTATCTTTCATTACTTAGTGTAACAGCACATTGATCAAATGAAATTCCAAACACTTTATTCTACCCATTGGTCTCCTCAAAAGATACAGTAATAGATAGAAACATGGATTCATGATGGGATTCAGAGTTTTCGACACTTTTCAATATCGCCTGATCATGGATTATGTAAGATTGTGGGAATGTGTGACCATATCATCACTTGTATCAGAATCTTGGATCAACATCTGATCCAAAAGTGAATCACATGACCTCGTCTGGGAGCTGCGTCTCAACTTGCACTTTTAGGACCTGTGTCCCATGCTGCCTTGGGTGGTGCTACCACATGATAGGCATCTATAACCTGTGTCAGGGCCATATCGCCATGTCTAGTCGACTTCCTTGTCCAGCAAAACCTGGCAACTAAACCTGAAAAGATGCATAAACTTGTGCATCACTATATTGAGCTAATGCTTTGCATCTGCACCATTGACACTGTAATTTTCAATGATAAATGCTGTCATATGAATGCACGTCCTATACGAGCACGCACCTTGTTTTCCTGCTATTGTTCTTTCCAACCACGACATCAGAGGTGTGGAAATGCTAGCAAATGCTCTCGTCGTTGGCTCACTTGGCCGGTGCAAGGTTCCATGAGTCCGCAAGGTCAAAGTGACAATTCTAGGCCGAGAGGACTGCGGGCGGCAGAGCTCAACATCAGACTTTTGACATGAAACTTGTGAGCTTGTACAAGCTCATTCAAGCTCGCAAGCTTCTGCCAAATCGCCGCAAGCTCACAAGCTCACAAGCCAGGTCCTGAAATCCACAAGGTCTGCCGTTCGACTCCTGGGAAGTGCAAATTTTTATTTATTCTTGGCCGCTCCTGCATTTACCTTTGTGCTCAGTGGATTCAAGGGCTGTCCTGCTGTTTATAGAATTATTTCTGAGCTGAAATTTGGTTGTCTCAGATACATTGTTCATTGGAATCGAGCTTGCGAGCTTGTGCGGCAAGCTGCCAAGCCCCACAAGTCCACAAGATGATTGTCAAAACACTGATGAATTGAGACCATCGGGAGGTTGGAAGGGCACGCAGATGCAGTAGGTACAGAGAAGGGATGTGGACGGTGAAGATACGCGTCAACGTCGTTGGTGAGAAGGAAAGGCGGCATTACCGAAACAAGAGTTACAGCAATTAGAACATACATCACATGTACAAACAAAGTAGATCCACTGCCCGCCAGAAGCGAGTTTTGGAACGCATCACTAGTTCCCGATCTAGAAATGGACCAACTTTTGGCCAAACATTGACATCAGCCGGCAGCAACGGCCGGCGCCGACTCACATCGGACGGCTCCTGAGACAAAATTCGTCTCCAAGTCCCTCGCAAGGAGAAAAGAACAGTCATTGTATTGCACGCCGAGGTTGTACATACTATAGAACATGAATTAAGGATACAGACGTCGATAGCCCGGGGTCTCTCCCACGATGCGCGGAAACTCGGCCGGAAAGACGCCCAGGCACGACGCTCACATCTACCCCTGCCATGCCTGCCTCGCCCGCTGCGCAATGCCCGCCTCCCATCGGCGTGTAGTGTTCGAGCTCGTGCAAAGGGCGCGAAGCGAGTGGGGATGGCGTGGGCATGGGCATGGGTATGGGTGTCACGACGTGGCGTGGGCCTGCCTCGTGGTCGGCGTATGTGAGAGGAGCTAGACAGGGTAGGGTGAGGAGGCGATGGGCGGTGAGCGTGGTACAGTGAAAGCTCGTCGTTCATCGGCGCGAATCTTCGAGAGAGAGATGCTAGTGCGTGTCGGGCGTGGCGTGGCGTGGCGGGTAGCAAGGCGACGACGGGGCTGAGCATGGGCGAGCAGCGGGCGTGGCGGGACAGAGCGAGAAGAGTGGGTTCTGTAGGCAAGCGCTGGGGCGAAGATGCAGGGTGTCGTCGTCGTGGTCAAGAAGGAAAAGGTGTGATGAGTCACCGGCAGCGTTTGCGGCAGCCTGAGACAGTGCCGTGCTGCCGAAGGGCTGTGTATTTGGACTCAGTTTGTTCCACTTCCGGATTGGGAAGGCGTGACGCGTTCCAATTGCAAGATCGCTGCCCGCCTCGCCGCTACCTTGATGCTCCTCATCTAACACAACCCAGTACTTGTTCCTCACCCTGAGTTGGCTAACAAGAGACCAGGATCTCCTCCAAAACTGAGGCATCAATCAATATGTAAGTAGAGAGAATACAAATCAATCGTCAATCTCAACTACGCCATACGGTTGTGCCTTGAAGTAAGAGTCGTCGAAATGATGGACCCTCACAAAACCGTCCTCTCCGCCGGAGGCGTAGCAGGTCCCTGCTGGATGTACCGCAATCCTGGACAATATTGGCTGGTGCATGAGAAGATAAAGTTCCATGACGCACGTATTTATCGGACCAAAGTGGCCTTTGACGCGCCCGACCTCCTCCTCGTACACCTTGTGCCAAAAACGCGTCTCGAATTTACCCTGTCGTAAGGAAGTTGTCGTGACGTGCATCGCTTCTTGGCCACCACCGAGAAGAACCTGGGGGCTCATGTGAGCCCAGAGAAAGCTGAGCAAGTAAACAGAAACATACATAGGGCCGTGTCGGTGCCAGGGCAGCACTGTTTAATGGTGTCTCCGTCGTGTAAGTCTTGATGACCATCAAGGATTTTATATCGTGTATCCGTGCAATTTT